AATACATTTTTGGGAAGCACATATTTTGGGTTTGAAATGTTTCTAGTAAATAATCAGCAAAAATGGACAGTTTTTGCTCCCCCTCTTGAGTTATGACTCCAGTGTCTGTTTAATCTAGTGGCTTGAAGGATTTTATAAGCGAGGCAGAGAAGAGTGGCGAAATACAGAAGCCCTGTTTAGAACCTCGCCCTTTTATTTGAATCCAATCTGTTGCCCTATTACAGCCCCAAAGTGGGTTTTTTCACATTCATCATGATGTCGGTATATAGAGAGTCAAAATAGATATATAATATATATATAATACATAAACCTGAATTAAATAAATAAATGTAACATGAAATAAGTAGATGTAATATGTCCTTATGTATACATACTTCAAGTATTAAATGTTCCATTAAATTGTAAAATGCACAAGTAAGCAATTAAAAAGATATTTTAAATGATGCATTAAATAACTAAATCAGACTTTTTTTTTTAATCTAATTAAAAATGTATCCAGTTAAAAAAAATATAATCTGAAATAGGTATATTTCTCCTAATCTGGTAAGGTAAATACGATGATCTACAATACAATTAGTACTTTTGTCCTTAAAATAGGATAAAATATTATGCACTTGAAATAAGACTTAATCTTTCTTTTTTAAGTCATTTTATTCCTTTGGCAAGTTTTACTTAATTGCTCGAATCAAGGTAAAATGTTTATTGAAAAAGAATGACTTAAATAAGAGCATGAGGATGTATTTTTATGGCGTTGCCAGTTTCTTGCATTATTTTTGGGCTCACAGACTGAAATGTTTCACAACCCTTGGTTTACTATATAGGCCTTATATGGGCACTATTATTGATTTATTAATTTTTTTTTTTTTAACAAGCTTATATGGCAAATAAACACCACCTCAAATTCCTTGTCAGAATCTAAACATATTGTTAAAGTTTCTACTTTCTGTTTATTAAACTCAATTTCCCTAACGTTGTCTTGAGTTTAACTCTGGTTTATAACAAGGGCTGGATATATATATGTATTGACCCAGAAAGAATGATTTATACGTTTTTTTGCAATATCAGAGGCAAACAGCGAATACATGAAATATTTAAAACACTAATAGGGCAGTAATCACAATAATCTAATCAGCCAATTTCTTTGTTTCAGAGTGATGGAGATTATTGCTTCTTTCCACAAGGAAGAAACTATTTTCCTCCTTATCAGTTTTAAATCTTTAACTAGGTGGGAAAAAATAATGTTATTTTTTATACTGCTCTGCCATCTTACTTCCCACTAATCTATTTAAGGCTGCATAGACTTTTCCCTCAGTTATTTTAGATGATAATGTTTTATTTACTTGCTTTGTCACTGTAGGAAGTTTAAGATGAGACAATAAAGCATCAATGTCCTGGTTATTGTCCATATGAAGTTCAAAACATAATCTCTTGTATTTCCACAAAACTTTGGTGAATATTTTCCTGTTTAGTTTCTATTTGATTTTTCAACACTCTCCATTTTATGTATTGTCCTTTCTGCATGTTGCTTTCTTATTTGGTATGAAAGGAGCAGCAATTTAATTATCAATCAGATTGAATTTTGAAATAATTGTGAACTGATTTGGTAATAAAATTAAATACTTAGCCAGAGAATTAGCACACACTCTAAAACACACTGTTCGGTTAAAGAATAACCCACCCATAGCAGCAATTGAGACAAAGCTAAAATACATTAAAGATTAAATTACTGTTATCCATAGGTATATTTTTTAGGTCTTGCATTTCATTTAAAAGTAAAATAAAGTGTTTTGTATTAGAAATATTTATTCTCAAATATTAACCAAATTCACTTTTGGTGAATCAATTAATAAAAAAAAATAAAAATAAAAAAAACAATAAATGAATCTATTCCTAAATAAATTGATAGCTGCCTCTCTAGGAAGGACTTGATTCATTTTTAGATTCCAATCATTTTCCACTTATTTTTGTGTCAGAACTGTAAAAATAAACCAAATTATAAAACATAATAAAATACAGAAATGTGAAATAAATTAATTTACCATTAAATAAGTGAGTGTAACTTTTTCTTATGTATAAACCTCTTAATATCCCCCAATTTCTGGGAAATTCGCCTATTTTGCACACCCAAAAGGAAAAGCAAATAAACTAAGGAACTGTAAGCTCAAATTACATGTGTGACACATAATTTGAAAGCTAACACCTTCTAGTTGCTGAATATATACATGAATATTGGGTAAGTAAACCACAGCCCAAGCTGCATCGGTTCTAACATGACTCAAAGTTTTTTGTATTCTCGAAAATAAGTCCTTTTTGAACAGCAGTTATAAAGACATGCTTGCTTGTTGTGGCAGCTTTGTCATGTTTATATTTCGACACGCTGCTGTATTTGTGCTTTAGTGCTCGCTATGTCCATAAGATGAACTTGATGGTTTAATTGTGGAGAATCTAAGCTTTCCAACGATGTCTAACATGTCTATATTGGTAAACATTTTACCAGTTTAATTCTCATGCATTCTGAGTTTTTTGTAAACGCTTTAAAACGGTGGGTTATGAGATGCTAATGTAATATGAGTCAAATATTAAATCCCATCACATTGCAAAATGCACAATTAAACAACTTAATATCCAATTAAATATGGAAGACCTAATGAGTCACTACAAAAGTAAATCAGCGATTTCAAGCTTAACATATAAATCAGGCAATTTAGAGAGCATTTTCTAATTACACATTTTAAAAGGAATTATAAAAGAGGAATTGTAAATATATTTATTTCTCTGTAAATTATATTTATAATCCATAATTAAGTACTGGCATTTTAAAATGTATTTTCAAATTCCATTTCTAAAAGAGAGATTTAAAAATAAAAAATAACCAATTCATAAATCTAATTATAAATACTTTTCCTAATCGCATATTAAAATGGGTCATTCCTTTTTCAACTTGAATTTTAAAATCCTCTTTAAAATTGCAATTTATTTCTGCTTTACCTGCTCCATTTACAATTTCCACGACCGTTCTGGTCCCTGAGCACACTGAAAAACAATTGAACTAATCACAGTTGCTCACCAGATGTAACCCGCTCCATTATTGGTCTTTTAGTGTGACAGTCTAAAAAAATTTGAGAGTCTGGCCCAGTCCAAATAATCACACTAAGCCCAACACTAAGTGTGCACATAGAGAACTTCAGGGTTTGAGGGTGCAAGCGTGCAAAATCTGAAGAGAGGGAACAGTACTTGCATTGTAACGTAGACATTGAAAGTGACAGGACCAATCCCGCTTTTGCTATAAAAATATGTTTAAACTGCAACAAGAGGTACTTTAGTATTCACATGTATACACTAAAGCATTGTTTTGATAATTACGCCTCAAAACAAGTGTTTTTTTCAGAATAACTAATAATCCGCCCAAGAAAGGAGTTTGATTTTCCCACTGCATAAGAAAATGCTTCATTGTTAGACTCCAAACTCTCCAATTTATAATTTTCAAGTATTTTTTAGTTTTAATATTCATCCTTTTCCAATTAAGGCTTTCAAAACTTCAAACAGGAATCAAAGTTATGGAACACAAATTACTTAAATACTTCTTCACCTTGATAAATCAAACTGCACTTCATTCCCCACCTATGATTTTCAAATAAACATCTGACTCTTACAGAGACAAAAACAAAATTATAGGACAAATTTTCTTCACAAAAGGTTGTTTGAAAGCAACCCATACTTTAAATGTATATGAACGAACTAGCATCAGACAGGAGAAATTTTTTTTTCACCTTATAACTGTATGCGCTAGTTTTAGCATATATTTTAATTTTGTGAAAATACTTTTTCGATGCATCATTCCAGAGTTTTTAACCCCATGCTTAACCATCGCCAACAATTATTTATTTACCTGCATTATGGGGCTTGTAGTTCAGCCACAGAACATTATTCCCATATAGAAATTCAAATTCCAGAACAAATTAATGAATGCAAATTTCTTTAAAAAAAAAAAAAAAAAACAACTATAAAAATGGACAACATAAATAAGACCTTAAATTAAAAATACAAGTTTATTAAAGATTGTTTCTCATATTTAGTTAAGACTTAGTCATTTTGTACACACAAGTGTATACAAAAAAGAAATTTTGTTTAGTACAGCTCTCTAGAATTTTTCGTTTTTTAAAGTGCAGCCTTAATAAATAAAGGTGAGCAGCAGTGGGAAAAACACTGGGATGAAAAGAAGTGATGTAAACATGAAACTGTATAGTTACAGTTCCAACATTTAGTTGTTTTTTTTTGTTGATTTAGTTTATTATTTTATTGGAAAGCAAATATTTTTTCTCATTTATAAAGCTGTATATTTCTGAATAAAACTTGTTTTATAGGTCCCAAACAGGCTCTCTAACCTTTTATTATTTTCCTTCTCCGTTGTACTTTTGTGAAATTTTTAGTAATCAAACATCACTGACATTTTATTTGTGCTTACAGATATGTACAGTACAATAACATTATTTACAATCAACATGACTATTTGCTTTTATAAAAAAAACCAAAAAAAAACCACGCATCTCATGAAATAAATACAGCTGTTCATGTTTTGGCTGCCAAAACTTGATATAAGTTACTGATCCACAAAGAGAAGATGGCAGCCTCCATGTCACTGCTTACTGTAGTGAAAACAGTCAAAGTGATGGAAGAATGAAACGAATTATCAGCACTGCTCATATCCGGCCTTCAGAGACAGGGCCAGAGACTCCACTGCAAAAAAAGAGGAAAAAGAGCCTGATCATCATCTCTGTCTGCAGAAAGTGAAGCCGTGATGTTCGGGAGCCCAGATCAACAGGTTTTACTCACGATGAGGAAATGAGCCCCGACGAACAGCCTTATTAAGTATCGTCACCAGGAACATGTGGCAGTTTTTGAAATCCAACTCCATCTTATCAATAGACTCGATCCTGGAAGGAAACACAAAATCAGGTAAAGACGGTCACCATGGCGATCCCAGCTCAAAGTTTGGGGTCAATAGACAGAAAATAATAAAATCCAGTATGCATGTTTTTCAGGTCTTACTTCCAAGCTCCAAATCCAGCTCTCCATCGGTCTGAGAAGATGAGCACCAGATTGAGAACCTTCATTATCGCCTCTTTGACAAAGCTGACCTAAAAAAAGACGAGTGTTAGAAGCGAGACCTTCTCTCTCCTCCCCGGGATTCACAACAACAGCATGCTTTGAGAAAAGTTGCAGTGCTAACTGATTTTCAGCTCATTAAACCAATGTGATTAAAAAAAAAACTGCTGTAGTTTGACTCCTGCAGAATTAAACGGCTGTGAAACTCAAACATGAATAGCATCAGTGCAGCAGGTCTTTTCTCAATTAAGTTTATGACTTTATATGTGAGGAGGAGGATTTTAAATTCTATTCTAGATTTAACAGGCAGCCAATGAAGAGATAGGAGAGACATGATGATAATTTTCATCAGAACTCTGTCTGCAGCATTTTGGATCAGCTGCAGGCTTTAACTACAGTTTCTGGACTTCCTGATAGTAAAGAATTACAATACTCCAGCCTTGAAGTAACAAACACATGGACTAGTTTCTCAGCATCACCCCTGGACAGGAGATTTCTAATTTTTGCAATATTCCGCAGATGAAAGAAGGAAATTCTAGAAACCTCTTTGATATGGGATATAAATGATAGGTCCTGATCAAAAATAATATTCTGATCAATTCCCCATTACAACAGCAGACACTTTTATAGATCTGCTAGATTTAGTCAGTTTTTTTTTAAAGCTGTGTAGCGAAAAACTCTTAAAACAAAAGTAGCTTTTAGAACAGGAGTAGAAAAGGTTACAGAGCCTAAATAAATAAATGACGCCAGCTGAGCCGAACTGGGACATTAACTGGGATCAGGCGCATTAGTCAGATGATACCAGTGTGGCAACAAACATTTCAAGTGGGTGTGGTGTAAAACAAAGGATGAATATGTGGAAATGCACCCCATGCCTTTTGGTGAGGTGGAGTATCAATGATACTGTGGGCCTTTTTCTCATCCAAAGCCTTTAGATATTTAAGAGCTTTTTAGAAGCTTGAGACCAGAACATTTTTAATTGAATGATGATCGTCTCTGCCAGTAAGATAAAAATGGATCAGTTTGAGCAAATATAAATCCTACTTTTATGCCCAGACTGTTCCAGACTGGAACTCTATATAAAACCTGAAGGGTAGGTAAACAGGCGAGGACAGATATCTGGAAGATCCGGAGGGCATTTTTAGAGAGGAGTGGTAAAAAGTGGCTCTCTCTGAATGATGTTATCTTATAAAGCAGTGGTGGATTATTGGCAATATGGTTTTATATTCTAATGAGAAAAGTACTATGAAGCGCTGGATTTGATCGCGAGTTCTGAAGAATTGAGCCTGCTTTTAGAATTCAGCACAAGGCGTTTACCTTTTCTCTTAACAGACAGCGGTCATGGATAGTTGCCAGGTATCTGTAGTGGATCTTGATCAGCTGGTCCAGGTCTTTTGCTTCCTGTACTTGGTTCTGAAACTCCAGTCCAGTGCTGTGCAGAATCTGTCAACAAACAAGGAAGGCATTTATCCAAAAGCAAGACAAAGAACTAGATTTCAAACAGAAGAAGTGGATTTGGAGCTTGTGCTTTCTGACTGCTCAGTGCATCAATGGCTGTTTTCTGGCGGATCACCGATTTTTAAAAAGCCTGACCTACTGATTATTACTGTTACTGATGTTTTATAACTGATGCTGTCTGAAGTTATAACATTACAACACACTTTTAAAGTTTAAATCTTATTTTATTGCACGGAAAAATTATCAAGAAATAAGTAAAACATTTCTTAAATTAAGCGTATTTACCCTTAATTTGAGCAGGTAAATGAGATAGTTTTCCAATGGAATGAGTATTTGTACTCTTAAAATAAGATTATTAGATAATATGCACTTGAAATAAGACAATGCATTTGTAATTTCTTATTTTAAATGAAAATTGTCTTGTTCCATTGGCTAAAATGTCTCTTTTTCCTCCTCAATCCAAGAAAAAAATGACTTGTCTAGATTTCAATTTTTTCCAGTGGGAAAAACATTGAACGGCACCCATTAAACAATAAAAGCTTTTAATTCAGCTACACATGAAATGTTTCTATGAAATATAACCAATATTTAGAGCATAGACACTGAATCCAACTTAACCTTCACTCACCTTGTCAGATCATTTTTAGTCGTAGGAACAATAGCCCAGTGACGGCACATTGGCCATAGAGACACAGGCAGACCTGGTTGCCCATTTATGCATATTTGTCCTGCATATATGGGCAACCAGGGGAGGCGCGGCCTAGTGGTTAGGGTTTTGCGTTCGGATCCCAGAGGTTCTGAGTTCAAGACCCACCCCCACAAACTGCCACTCTGGGTCCCTGAGCAAAGACCCTTAACCCCACAATGCTCCCTGGGCACCGCACAATGGCAGCCCACTGCTTCCCAAAGGGATGGGTTAAAAGCAGAAAGGGAATTTCATTTCTTTGCACTTGTGACAGAGTAATGACAATAAAAGTTGAATGTTAGTCTGTTCTGTCCGCTCACAGACAGAGACACACTTCCGTTACACTGCAACACATCAGAGCCCAGTTCCTCTAAAAAATAAAACGTGAAGTAGCTCAAATTTGAATTTCTTCCTGAACCAACCAAGATGCAATGCATCCTGGGAGAAACTAAAGCCAGCAGCTTATGTCTCATTATGTCAGAAACTGAGGGACAAAAGCAAAAACACCAGATTCGTCTAGATCTGATTCTTTTTTCTTAATCTGTATTCTTTTAAAAACAAATTGCAATAGTATAGATGTAAAAAAATAAATGTATGAATATTTATATTATCATTATAATGTTTTTGTAACAGACCATATGTCTATATATTTGTTACCTTTTTATTGTATTTTCAAAATTGTATTGTAACTTTTTTCATTGTATTTACAAAAAAATTTGCAGCTTTGATAATTCTGTTAATCTACATTTATGCAGATAAAGCTAATCAAAGTTCAATTAAATTAAAAAATTGAATTAGTATGCTGCCCGCCACACAAACTATTAAATTTAGTTTTGTTTATCAATAATAAGTTTGCTCCTCGCCCGTTCCCATTTAAATTGTAACGGCAATCAAACCCAAACCCTAGAGACACTGTTTCGCCTACTAAAAAATAAAAAGTTGGGAAAAGAGTCTTACATGGAAAGTCAAGATTAAGTAAGCTAAAAGAAGCAAAGCAACACAGTGGTGGGATAACTGGGGCTGCTGCAGAGATCAACTTTACCAAAAGTTCCCCTGCTTTATAAAACAGCTCAAGCTCAGTCTCTACATGTGCAGATCTGGCAGAAACACGGCCCCAAAAAAACTTCACAGCTGTTGTTACAACATATGGTGGTGAGAAAAAAAACAATCACTCAGTTCCGGTTTTCTTTTTTTCTTGCATGTTTGTCACACTTAAATGTATCATAACTTTAAATATTAGTCAAAGAAAAAAAAAGCTTTTTCATTAAGGTTTTTACCATAAAAGGGAAACAAAAATCCAACCTACATGACCCTGTGAAAAAAAGTGATTGGACCCTAAATCTACCAACCATTTTGGTTACCCTTAGCAACAGCTGCAGGAGCTCGCATTAACTTGCAGTCGAGTCTTTTCAATCTCTGTTGAATTATGTTTTTTTTTTTTTTTTTTCCATTGGAGGGTTTTCCAGATTAAACAGCATTTTTAAAGGTCATTCCACCACACCTCCATAGGATCCAGATCAGGACTTTGACTAGGCTCCTCCAAAGTCATCATATTGTTCCCCGTCATTCAGAAGTAATTTTCCTGGTGTTTTAGATTGTTTTCTTGCTGCAGAACCCAAATTAATTTTCGTCTCAAATCACCAGCATATGGCTGGACGTTCTCCTTGAAGATTTTTTTTGGCAGAAAGCATAACTCATGGCTTCATTCATCACAGAAAGTCCAGAAGCATCAAACAGCCCAGATCATCACTCCACCACCACCTTAGTTTACTGTGGCTATATGGTGGTGTTGTTCAGAAATGCAGTGTTATTTTACATCAGATAAATTGGGGACACTACATATCTTTTGACCCAAGTATTAGCTTAATTTGATAATTTTTCAGGTAAATATAAAGATGGTGTTGCTCATCGATGTTGCATGAAGGCGGCCCTTCTCAAAAACTCGCCAGGTTAACTTCAGAGGGTCAGATCTGTCACTGAATCAGTCATGTGACCCAGAGCGCCGCTTTATGGTNTTTTTGTAAACGCTTTAAAACGGTGGGTTATGAGATGCTAATGTAATACAAGTCAAATATTAAATCCCATCACATTGCAAAATGCACAATTAAACAACTTAATATCCTATTAAATATGGAAGACCTAATGAGTCACTACAAAAGTAAATCAGCGATTTCAAGCTTAACATATAAATCAGGCAATTTAGAGAGCATTTTCTAATTACACATTTTAAAAGGAATTATAAAAGAGGAATTGTAAATATATTTATTTCTCTGTAAATTATATTTATAATCCATAATTAAGTACTGGCATTTTAAAATGTATTTTCAAATTCCATTTCTAAAAGAGAGATTTAAAAATAAAAAATAACCAATTCATAAATCTAATTATAAATACTTTTCCTAATCGCATATTAAAATGGGTCATTCCTTTTTCAACTTGAATTTTAAAATCCTCTTTAAAATTGCAATTTATTTCTGCTTTACCTGCTCCATTTACAATTTCCACGACCGTTCTGGTCCCTGAGCACACTGAAAAACAATTGAACTAATCACAGTTGCTCACCAGATGTAACCCGCTCCATTATTGGTCTTTTAGTGTGACAGTCTAAAAAAATTTGAGAGTCTGGCCCAGTCCAAATAATCACACTAAGCCCAACACTAAGTGTGCACATAGAGAACTTCAGGGTTTGAGGGTGCAAGCGTGCAAAATCTGAAGAGAGGGAACAGTACTTGCATTGTAACGTAGACATTGAAAGTGACAGGACCAATCCCGCTTTTGCTATAAAAATATGTTTAAACTGCAACAAGAGGTACTTTAGTATTCACATGTATACACTAAAGCATTGTTTTGATAATTACGCCTCAAAACAAGTGTTTTTTTCAGAATAACTAATAATCCGCCCAAGAAAGGAGTTTGATTTTCCCACTGCATAAGAAAATGCTTCATTGTTAGACTCCAAACTCTCCAATTTATAATTTTCAAGTATTTTTTAGTTTTAATATTCATCCTTTTCCAATTAAGGCTTTCAAAACTTCAAACAGGAATCAAAGTTATGGAACACAAATTACTTAAATACTTCTTCACCTTGATAAATCAAACTGCACTTCATTCCCCACCTATGATTTTCAAATAAACATCTGACTCTTACAGAGACAAAAACAAAATTATAGGACAAATTTTCTTCACAAAAGGTTGTTTGAAAGCAACCCATACTTTAAATGTATATGAACGAACTAGCATCAGACAGGAGAAATTTTTTTTTCACCTTATAACTGTATGCGCTAGTTTTAGCATATATTTTAATTTTGTGAAAATACTTTTTCGATGCATCATTCCAGAGTTTTTAACCCCATGCTTAACCATCGCCAACAATTATTTATTTACCTGCATTATGGGGCTTGTAGTTCAGCCACAGAACATTATTCCCATATAGAAATTCAAATTCCAGAACAAATTAATGAATGCAAATTTCTTTAAAAAAAAAAAAAAAAAACAACTATAAAAATGGACAACATAAATAAGACCTTAAATTAAAAATACAAGTTTATTAAAGATTGTTTCTCATATTTAGTTAAGACTTAGTCATTTTGTACACACAAGTGTATACAAAAAAGAAATTTTGTTTAGTACAGCTCTCTAGAATTTTTCGTTTTTTAAAGTGCAGCCTTAATAAATAAAGGTGAGCAGCAGTGGGAAAAACACTGGGATGAAAAGAAGTGATGTAAACATGAAACTGTATAGTTACAGTTCCAACATTTAGTTGTTTTTTTTTGTTGATTTAGTTTATTATTTTATTGGAAAGCAAATATTTTTTCTCATTTATAAAGCTGTATATTTCTGAATAAAACTTGTTTTATAGGTCCCAAACAGGCTCTCTAACCTTTTATTATTTTCCTTCTCCGTTGTACTTTTGTGAAATTTTTAGTAATCAAACATCACTGACATTTTATTTGTGCTTACAGATATGTACAGTACAATAACATTATTTACAATCAACATGACTATTTGCTTTTATAAAAAAAACCAAAAAAAAACCACGCATCTCATGAAATAAATACAGCTGTTCATGTTTTGGCTGCCAAAACTTGATATAAGTTACTGATCCACAAAGAGAAGATGGCAGCCTCCATGTCACTGCTTACTGTAGTGAAAACAGTCAAAGTGATGGAAGAATGAAACGAATTATCAGCACTGCTCATATCCGGCCTTCAGAGACAGGGCCAGAGACTCCACTGCAAAAAAAGAGGAAAAAGAGCCTGATCATCATCTCTGTCTGCAGAAAGTGAAGCCGTGATGTTCGGGAGCCCAGATCAACAGGTTTTACT